AAGACAGATCCTAGCAGTCCTCCACTTATGACCACAGCTGAGCCCAAAATTTCTGTTGCTAAGCGAGACAGTGATTGGGTGAGTCTTGCCCCCATTTTACGACCGTTGTTAAGTGAATCACTGCAGATGTGAAGTTAGTCCCGCAGTTTTTAAGTGAATCTGGCTTCCCCCATTGACTTTGCTTGTCAGAAGGTCGTAAAAGGGGATCACATGACTCCCCGGGGGACGCTGCAACCGTCATAAATATGAACCAGTTGCCAAGCGTCTGAATTTGGATGCTGCAACGGTGGAACACTCTCATAAGTTACTTTTTTTCAGCACTGCTCTAACTTTGAACAGTCACTACCTGCAGTCCTCCACTCACAACTAAAAATGAGCCCAAACTTTCCGTTGCTAAGCAAGGCAGTTGTTAAGTGAGGCACGTCTGATTTTTGCAAGCTTTTTTGCCACGGCAGTTAAGCGAATCCCTGCATTCGTTAAGTGAATCCTGCAGTCATTTTAAGTCAGAGGTCTTCAAACCTGGCCCTTTTAGGACTTGTGGACTTCAACTCCCAGAATTCCTCAGCCAGGCACGCTGGCTGAGGAATTCTGGGAGTTGAAGTCCACAAGTCATGAAGGGGCCATAGTTCCCCCATGCTGGCTGAGGAATTCTGGGAGTTGAAGTCCGCCAGTCATCAAAGGGCCAAGTTTGAAGAACCCTGTTTTAAGTGATGCAGCTTCTCTCCTTGACTTGGATCATCGGAAGCCAGCTGGGAAGGTTTCAAATGGTTAAAAATTGGTTGCAAATCCTCAAACAACCACTTAGCAACATTAATCCTGGTCCCAATTGTGGTCGTAAGTTGAGGACTACCGGGATCTGTCTTAGCGATCTTCAGTCTTATATTAAAATTCTGCTTCGAAAATTAGAATAGAATAACAGAGTTGAAAGGGACCTTGGAGGCCATCTAGTCCAACCTCCTGCTCAGGCAGGAAACCCTACACCATTTTGGACAAATGGCTGTCCAGTCTCTTCTTAAAAAGTTCCAGTGTTGAAGCATTCACAGCTTCTGTAGGCAGGTGGCTCCACTGGTTACTAGTTCTCATTGTTGGGAAGTTTCTCCTTAGTTCCAGGTTGCTTCTCTTCTTGATGAGTTTCCCTCCGTTGCTTCTTGTCCTGCCTTCAGGCGCTTTGGAGAAGAGCTTGACTCCCTCTTCTTTGGGGCAGCCCCTGAGATATTGGAAGACTGCTATCATGTCACTCCTAGTCCTTCTTGATTCCTTGTATTCTTCCTGATTAA